ATCCCATGCCTTTGGGAGGCTGAGGTGAGTGGATTGCCTGAGCCTGCGGGTTCGAGACCCGTCTGGGCAACTTGGCGACACCTCATCTGTACAATAAATAAAAAAATTAGCCGGGTGTGGCAGTGCGCGCCTGTAGTTCCAGCTACTTGGAAGTCTGAGGCAGAAGGATCGCCGGAGCCCAGCAGATCGAGGTGGTGGCCGGCAGCGGCCACTACACTCCAGTCTGGGCGACAGAGTGAGACTCCAACTCAAAAAAAAAAAAACTTCATACATATAAAAATAATATTAATCTTTAACATTTGCTTATAATATTGGGCATACTTTCTAGAACCTTGCAATGTTTGATAAGAGGAAAAACATCTCCGTTTACAGATATTTTTAATAAATACATATACTAAGAAACTAAGAATATATGCAGACATATGGATCTTTTAAAAATCATGTGCAAAGAGCTAGGCTTCTCCTACAATTTCTATAGTTTATTCAACACGATGCTGACATCAACTTGTAATAGGATTCTAGACCTAAAATAATAAAATTTGTCATTTTACAAAATGTATACCAGTTTACCCAGTTATATCAAGGTTATCACTAACACCTAACAAAGAATGAAGTGACAGTCACCAACACAGACAGGCAGTAAGGCAAAATTCAAGAATAATTCCTCTAAGATTGTACGCTTGTAAGCTTTTACTAACCTAAAATAAGATGGAACCTATCAGTGCAGACATCCTCAGGGGACTTTACTGTAGCCCCAGATGAAGATCCCTGACACATGGAAGTTGGTGTAACAGGCCTTGAGAGATTAGATGCTCCTTCATCTGGGTCAGCAACAACAAAGCCTGTGCTTGTGAGCCACAATGCTGCAGCATGGAGAATAAGCGCCCAGGAGCTGCAATAGTGCAATTTTGCATTTTCACTGGTCTCTGCTGTATAGAAAGCACCACCTAACCAAAAAGGGAAAACAAACAGTTTCAGGAGGAATAAAAGAAGAGATTAGCTTCCGATACATTTTTTCTTTTCTGTTACAAGATACAGACATTTCTATTACTCTGGGAATTCCTTTATGCCCTTTCCAGTCAGTTCCCTACCCCAAGGCAACTACTTTCTGATTTTTATCAGTACAGGCTTAGCTGTGCCTATTCTTGAACTTCATATAAATGGACTCATATAAATATGTACTTGTTTGTGATGGACTTTTTTGACCTAATAATGTTTTTAGAGATCCACTCATGCTGTTATGTTATCAGTATTTTGCTATCTATGCTTTTATTTTTCCTGCTAGTACAACTGTTGTATCACAGGGCTAATTTATCTTTTAACTTTTTAAAAGTCTGCAGACTAATTTGTTTTTTTTTGAGTTGGAGTCTCACTCTGTTGCCCAGGCTGGAGTGCAATGGCACGCTCACAGCTACAGCAGCCTCGACCTGCTGGGCTCAGGTGATCCTTCCACCTCAGTCTTCCAAGTAGTTAAAACTACAGGCATGTGCCACTACGCTTGGCTAACAGACTAGTTCTTGTTTTTTCTTTTGAGTCGGAGTCTCACTCGGTCACCCAGACTGGAGTGCAGTGGCCACTCCCGGCCACCGCAGCCTCGACCTGCTGGGCTCCGGCGATCCTTCTGCCTCAGCCTTCCGAGTAGCGGAAATTACAGGTATGCACTACCACACCCGGCTAATTTTTTGATTTTATTATAGAGATGAGGTCTCGCTTGCCCAGGCGGGTCTCGAACCCGCGGGCTCAGGCAATCCACTCACCTCAGCCTCCCAAAGGCGCGGGATTACAGGCTGAGCCACCGAGCCCGGCTCAGACTAGTTCTTAAACACAAAATAATTTATAATCTATTCATGAAATATTCATGATTCAATCATACAATTTTTGAAACTAAATATGTGGTTTTTTTGAGTCAGGGTCTAGTTCTGTCACCCAGGCTGGAATGCAGTGGCATGAACAAAGCTCACCCCGGCCCTGACCTCCTTACCCCTGCACACAGCAGCTTGTGTAGCTCATCTTGACTTGTACCCCACACATCTATCTTAAAAAAATTTGTATATGTGTACTTAAAATAAATACCAATACCCATTTACCTACTTCCAAAACTGACATAAACTTTTGCCTTCTTTTCTTTTCTTTCTTTTTTTTTTTTGAGTTGGCGTCTCATTCTGTTGGCCAGGCTAGAGTGCAGTGGCACACTGATGGCCACCGCAGCCTTGACCTGCTGGGCTCAGACGATTTTTCTGCCTCAGCCTTCCAAGTAGTTAAAACGACAGGTGTGCACCACCACACCTGGCTAATGTTTAGATTTACTGTAGAGACAAGGTCTTGCCAAGTTGCCTAGGCTGGTCTCCAACCCCTGGACACAGAAAATCCTTTCACCTCTACCTCCCAAAGTGCTGGGATTACAGGTGAAAGCCACCGTGCCTGGCTTATTTTCTTAAATCTTTATTATTTTACTGAAAAAAACCTAGAAATTTGGTTTTTTTATTTTTATTTTTTATAACTAAAGAACATTTATTTACTTTTCACTGAGACTTTATCTTGAAGACATAACTAAACTGCGTCACCACCCCCACCCCATCTTGAAGAAGGGTTAGTACAGTGAATGTTGTAAAGGAGACATCAACAGTTGGAAGGATTGCAGCCAACATTAAATGACAAGAAACAACTTTCATCTAAATCATCATAAAAATGTTTAAGTAAAAAATAAAAAGAAAAAAGGGGGGCATGGGGGTTTCAGATTGAACAAGATCCTCACATTTATGGAATACACTCCATCCTAGCTAGAATGTAATAAAATGGAAACAGGATTCCTATAATACAAAACTCCCACTATAGCTCGCTGCACACACTCGTGCTCCATGCCCATCCCACTCCCAATGCTTCCCACTCGACTACTTCCCCGCCTGCTGGGTCTGCCGGCGAAGGAGCACGTAGATCTTCTCTTTAATCCAGTCTTTGTTATATGGTTGGTATGTCTGGGTATCAGCTCGGTAAACTATGCAGCTGAGGTCTGCCAGATCATCAATGAAATCAAACAACTGACTGATGTCATATGTGACCGAGGGGCTGTTAGGACTCATGCTCTTCAGATGTTCTTCATACATTATACAAACGACTTCCATACACTTGTTCACAGACTCATAGTTGGGCGTAGGTCCTGCCTTCCGGCCTCTTGGTGGGTTGCACCAGCAAGATGGTGTCAAACATCACGCCAAACTCTCCTCGCCGCAGCCACCGCCAACACCGCTGCCGCCACACGAGCTGAGCTGCAACGCCACGCGCAGCCAATCCAGAACTTTGTTACATCACTAATTTTTGCCCCTTCACCCATAACTACTTTCCTAAAGTCAGTGTGAACCACTCCTAAATAGGGTCTTATACTTTCACAATAACGTGCATATTCATTAACAATATATGCTATTATATTTTGATTTAAAAGTTTGCTTACCTTTTTCTTTTTTTTGAGGTCTCAATATGTTGTCCAGGCTGGCCTTGAGTTCCATCTATCCTTCTTCCTCAGCCTCCCAAGTAGCTGGGACTACAGGCTCACACCACTGGCTTGGATGCATTTTTTAAAACTAGCTTTTTACTTTGAACACTATGTTTTGAGATTTACTTGTTGATACTTGTCTGTTATTCACTTTTGCTGCTAAATTGCGTCAATAAATCAGTTTATTTCTGTTCTGTTTCCATTTTTGTGCTATTGAAAAGTATAACAAAAACTCTACAGATCTGTGTATTATTCCAATAAAAATTCTAATAGAAGGTCAGGCATGGTGGCTCACACCTATAATTCCAGCACTTTGGGAGGCCAAGGTGAGAGGACTGTCTGAGCTCATGGGTTCGAGACCAGCCCAGGCAATTTGGCAAGACTTCATCTCTACAATAAATCAACAAATTAGCTGGGCATAGTGGTGGGTGCCTGTAGTTTCAGCTACTTGGAAAGGTGAGGTGGAAGGATTGCCTGAACCCAGCAGGTTGAGGCTGCAGTGGTCGTGAGTGAGTGTGCCATTGTACTCTAGTCTGGGTGACAGAGTGAGACTCCAGTTCAAAAAAAAAAAAAAAAATCTAATAGAACTAGTTTGGGCACTGTGGAACACAACTGTAGTCTCAGTTATTTGGGAGGTTGAGGTGGGAGAATCATCTGAACACAGGAGTTTGAGGCTATAGTGTACTATGATTGCTTCTGTGAACAACACAGCAAGACCTGTCTCTAAAAAACAAAACCAGTAAAATGCACAAAAAGCTAGTAACTTGACAGGCTAATCCTAAAATTCATATCAAAAAGTAAAAAAGCAATAATAGCCCAGACATTCTGGTATAACATGAAGAAGACTGAATGGCTACCAAATAACCAACCCATAAAATATAGTGTTAGTAACTGAATAAAATTTAGAACCTCATCCCTGCTGCACACACACAAAATAAATGTCAGTTCTACAGTTCAAAATCTAAAAGGAAAAACTGTAATGTTTATAGGTCTTTATGCTGTTTAAAAATGTATCAAGAAGTACACAAAAACACAAACCATAAGTAAGATTACATTCGTGGTTTCCCTCCCCCCTTTTAATTTTTTTAGAGACAGAGTCTTGTACTGTCACCCAGGCTGCAGTGTAGTAGTTTGATCAGAGCTTACTGCAGCCTCGAACTCTTGGACTCAAGGAGTCCTCCGGCCTTAGCCTCCCAAGTTAGGTAGAACTACAGGTATGTGATGCAATATCTGGCTTACATTAGTTTTAAAAAGGTAATAAAAAGGGAAAACTACAGACTGAAAGAAAATATCTGTAAAACATGTAACAAAAAAAGAATGTGTTTAAAAATATAAATAAAAGAGCCAAGTGTGGTGGCTCATGCCTGTAATCCCAGCATTTTGGGAGGTGGAGGTGAGAGGATTATCTGAGCTCAGTGGTTTGAGACTAGCCTGAGCAACATGACGAGACCTTGTCTCTACAAAAAATTAGCCGGGCATGGTGGCACATACCTGTGGTTCCAACTACTTGTAAGGCTGAGGCGGAAGGATCACCTGAGCCCAGCAGTTTGAGGTTGCAGTGGCTGAGAGTATGCCACTACACACACACACACACACACACACACACACACACA